AAAAATAGCAACAAGACAGAACACATACGACGAAGAACATAACAATGCAGACACAACACCAACAGCACCACAGTTACCACCCCTACCACATAACCATCCATTATCCCTAGTCCCACGTAATTTTCGAAATTTAGCCATAACACATAATAATTTTAGACCAACCATATCACAAAGTCCCATCCAACATATAATGCCACACCACTCACAAGATGAAAATACTTATGAACAAATTATAGAACAACCCCATACCACCGCTTTTCAGTCTCAAAATAATAATTTTTTTAGCCCACGATGAGCCGACAACTTGGATCCCTACACCGATCAAATTCCCACCCAACCAACCTCACCACTCCAATCCCAATAATACCACTTTTTGCTTTTCCGCCACCCGATTTCCCATCCAGTAATGTAACATCCGGCATAAATTCCGATACTAACTCACACATCTCAGTTTTATACTCCATCTCACAACTCAATAACCCGAATATTGAAACCCCCGATGAATTTGCCGACTCCGAACCATCTCCATCAAATAATTTTCACACCAATCCCTTAAATTTTTCCCAACCCCCTTTTCAACCCATACTACCAAATAACCCTGACCCAACCAATTCTACACCCTCTTATGCTTCCCAAGTCACTCCAACCTACTCCTCACTTCACTCAAACCAATCATCTCATTCTTCAGACACCCCCCCGAATCTCCCCAGAACTAGATAATTTCATTACCTTACAACAACAATCCTATCACCTTGACACCCCAACCATAAACCAAATCTCATCCACAATAGATTCATCCAACCCTCCTACCCCTACACCCTCTTCAATTTATACTGATTCATTAGCACCATCATCCACAACTACTGTATCTTCACTCAGCACTAATAGAGCTTACCGCACTTTTAAAAGGAAGTTCCCCAACCATCCTTTCCCAGCGAAACCAGGAACAGCCCGTGAATACATCAACCATCCACAACACACTAACACAAAAGAATTTTTAGCTATCACCTTACCCTCATTTCCACAATACACCTTAAACACCCCTCATGACACTAACGAGACACGTAACTTTGTAGACGAATACGTTTTAATGCCTACCCTTCCTTGGACCTCATATTATCATTTTACAAATCCCCTTTGCTTACCTTTATCTAACACTCATATCGATATAGAACGAAATATGGACATGCTATATCGACTCACTACACCACTAACACCTAGACAATTTACTTACATTGGATACAAAAAATCACTAAAAACACACACTGCACCCCGAGCTAATGAATATACACTAGAATATTACGACCATAACATCATCAGAACTAACCAAGATCAATTCTTAGACGACGATCGCTTCGCTAACCCACAAATCACCGAGAAATTTTTCATTAAAACACCATATGTATTTACACTAAATATCTTCGATCGCAAGTTTGACCACATTGTCTCAGAAGCACTAACAGACACGCAAGCCTACGAAAGTTTTAAAGAACGCTTCCAAATATTTTCACTAACCTTTCATTTCCTTGCACCACATGAAAGAGATTTGCACTGCTCACACGATATTATGTTGCGCACTAAACAAACACACACATATACTTATTATCGTTTCATCCAAAATCACTTTGACCTACACACTCCCTCCAGACAACCACACCATCGTTTTCAATTCATCAATTCCAAATACACCTCACCATTCTTTCTTAACTTCACATATTGCATTAAAGATACTAACCTTCATGGTATTCTTCGAAATTATGATCCCATAACCCAAATGTATATCTTTTGTCCCATCACCAAGACCTTCAACGCAGAAGAATCCCGACCCTTCCTCATCCCACACGAGTTTGTACAACCTATAGAAATCCCCATTTTAGAATTCATCCATAACACTAAATTCAACCACAAATTATATAATCTAATCCAAAACACACCTTATGAATTTGCAGTTGGCACTGAAGAACTAACCACAATTAAGGCACTTCAATTGCTTTGGCCACTGCTTCAAACTAAAAATATCATCCGCATATTAGCCAAACTACTAACAACTTCAGATCTCATTCACGACATTTTCCCCCACGGTTTCTTCCCCGACGACTAACAGGTAAGTATGAATTATACATATTACTAATTAATTCAAACATTAGAAACTCACCATTCTTTATCCATGTTTTCTTTAGAATTTTAGCCTTCATCCAACGATCATCTGAAAAATTCACAAAAGAAAAATAAAAAATAGCAAACTTCTTCAAAACTGTTTAAAACCCTATTAAATTTTTGCACCAACAATTAAATAAATATAATACCAATGCAGTAAATTAATTTATATATTTTTCCCCCACCAGCAGTAAATCTAATAATGATAAAAATTTGTAACTTAATTTCCCCCAACAACTAGCAGTAAAATTAAAATTCTATCTAGTAAATTCATAAGAAGCAAAAGCAGTACTAACCTTTTGATATTTTCATTCACTCGCATAAGAATTCTATCCACACTCGCACAGCTCGCCCACAAAGAATTGTTTAAAATAATGAATTTCAGTTTCAAGCTTTCACACTCGATAACTCTAACACAAGATAACACGTTTCAAACTTTCCTTTAACGCGGTTGGAAAGGAATTATATACTAAACAAAACTAACCAATGCAGCTTACTAAACACCACAACACATAGCATAACAGCATGACTAAGAAAAGGAAACCAACGGTACCCAAACCGGATTAACCCAGTTTAAAACTGGATAAATTATTCTTTTGAAGACTATTATAAAGTCTAAGAAAGAAATAATAAAACACAAAAAAGTCGAAAGACAAACCCATACCACAAACAATTTGATTTTTGAAAAAAGGACACAACCAACAAAACATAAGAAAAACCACAACAAACCCAACATAAAACGTTGTCACATAACAGGACCTCTCACAAAAACCGCATGCAATCATACTCCCACTCCTGGCCTAACCCACCAGGAAGGACGTCCTGAGCATGCTCTATAGCCGGCCTAACCCACCGTGCTACATCCACGCTTTGTGACCACACTCCTATTTTTAATAAGAGCTACTCAAGGGTGAGTAACTCTTCAAAATAACTGAACTAAAACAAAAAGCTTTTGTGAAAACAACTAACTAAAATCATAATTAAAAAATATTAAACTAATAAAAGTTTTATAAAATGTAAATTACATTATGCAATACATAGATCAGAATACAACACCAAGGACGAACATCCAAAGACAAAACGACCCTACTACACTCGAGAAAGAATGGCCAACTACAATCAATATGCCGCCCACAATCACAACTCAAAGGATTTAGAGTACGACTTGACTTCGCAGAAAAGGACTTCATTGAACTAGACCAATGACCACCTCGATGTTCAAGTATACGTACAGATCCGAGTAACCAGGCATCCCCACCACGCACAATCTCCACGCCATTCCCAGACAAGGTCAAACACAAAGAAGTTCTCACCAATGAAACAGAAAAACCTGACATAGCCAACCATTCTGAAATCAGATTTGAGTTTGTTGCGAAAACCCAGTCGTTGTCTTGAGAAGACACAATGATTGAATCTGGGACTTCTCTAATAAGAAAACCCAGAAGAAATAAGATGTTCACCAAATACCAACGTCCATCATCCATCTTTCGAATTACAGAAAAACTATTCTAAAAAATTCTGTAAAACCCGGATGGGTGGAACCTGATCTAAACTACATTTTATGATTGGATAAATTAGATATTTTACCAATGTAAAGTATTTAATATTAACCAATCATGATCCATCTAACTAACAATCCACTTATTTGTAAGTGCTGAAATTACTTGTAATTTCAGCACCAGAGAGATTTGAATTTAACTTAGAAATTAGTTGAACTCTCCCGAGTACTTCAGCAGCCGCAATAAACCAGTATACCCTAGATCTATTGAGCCTAGCAGAGACTAGTTAAACAACCTGAGACTAGATAGTATAAGAGTAAGATTAGGATCGGTATTAGACTAAGAAGTTGCACGAATCTATCCGGCCGAAAATAAGATAGCGTGACGAGCAGACGGTGTACCCTATCCGAAATTACTCTATGAGTTATACACTTCGGTCCTAACTCACTATTGTTACATATCACCGAGCAGTTTTGTAATTCCAATTTTTGAAAAAAGCTAGAATATGCAATCATGAAGTGTTTTTCTTCTTATAAATTCAAAGCTCAGAGCTCAAAAATGAAAAAGGGGTTTTTCATGCACATATTTTTTTGTAAAGTTATTGTTCCGGCTTTCGAAGCAAACGGAATATGTATGGTTGGATTGGTTTTTTATTCAGTAAAACTTCGGCGATCCAAATAGATATTACTTTTTGCAAATCAACTTTTGCTATCACATTTTTACACTTGATCTTTGATTTTGTCCAAAAATTATAGTTTTTAACCAACACTTTGTTTTCCCTAAAAATATTCAATATAGATTGAGGGGCAGTCGGAACATTCAGTGCTTTGCCCTGATATACGAACAGCCTTGTTATTCTTGAAACTTGTTAATTTGGGGTAAAAAAGGCGAGACATATTTTGTCCTATCAACGTGAGCGAGAATTAGATCAATCAAAATTGAATCGAGAAAGTTTTTTTGGCTGGGTTCTGATTTGTTTTTCGATGTCTAGGAATAAAATTATTTTGTCCCAATTTGCTAAGATTGCATTAATAGTTCTCACATTGTTTCAAACAGAAAGGTTCTTGGAATTATAAATCTTTATTGTCGTATATTTGCATTTTTTAAACGCTTTGAAAAAATTGGACAATTTTTTTTTTTGGTCTCACTGGTATATTAAAAACATACAAAATGAGTTACACAGCGAACAAGTTTTTGGCGATGGATGAGTCCAAAAAATAGTTTCCTTTAATCGGGTTCAAGTTTTCCGATTTTTGATTATGGGTTAATCACCAATGCTACTGAACAAAATTCCAAGTTCATAAAAACCAGCGGTCATATTTAAATTGATTCCAAAAACTACAGGAAAAAAGAAGAAAAAGAATAAAAGCGATGAAGAATCTGAAGGCACAGACCCATTTTTGGCATCAAGTGATGAAGATTCCGAAAAAAGCCGGGATAAAAAGAAGAAACATCACAAAAAAGGAGGTAAGAAAAAGGAGAAGAAAAAACATCACGACAAAGACAAGTCAGAGAAAAAAGAACGCAAACATCGAGAATCGAAAAGTGTTGTTAAATCAGACGCTGAGACTTCTGAAAATGAAGAACATGAAAATGCCAACAAAAGTTCAAAACACAAGAAAAAATCACATCATGGTGATCGTCATGAAGAAAAATCGGAAAAGTCAGGGAAAAAGGCAAAGACGGAAAAATCTGAGAAGGAGAAAAAAAGTAAAAGCAAAGAAAACAAAAGCGACGAAGAAATTGAAAACGATGAAGCAAACGAGAAACCGGATGAAGATAGAGAAAAAGGTGAAAACTCGCGCAGAGGAAAGGACGAAAAATCTGAAAAGAAACACCATAAGGAAAAGTCAGAAAAAAAGTCAAGGAGAGATTCGGAGAGGAAAGAGCGTAAAGACAAGAAGGAAAAGAAAGACAAAGAAAATGGGAGTGTTGTTGACTCGGAATCTGACTGAGAAGTTCCTAGAACAACTACTCCTTGAAAATTCAGTTAATCGCCTAAGCCTTTCTTCTATTTCAATTTTTCGAGTCATTTGTTTACGTTTAAAACTTTGAAATTGTTTCTGTTTTTTTTTCAATAATTTAATAAAAAATTTCTCACAAAAAAACGAACAAATACAAAAACGTCAGCCTTGGATCATAGTTGTCATTTTTTGGCTTTTCAGTAGTACTAAATATCAACAAAGAAAAATTAGAAAATTGTCTTGGAAAAATTTCGACCTGATTTGCAGTACCGATTTAACATTTTCCTGTAGAAGTATGCACTTGCAGTACTTGCTAATTTAAAATTATAAATTAACGTAAGAGAATCAACATAGTGATGACGTTGACGGTCGCACAAATTTATGTGAAATTGTAATATTTATGCGTCTAATGAGCATAATATAGGTCTAATCTGCAAACCCCCTTCATTATTTTAAAAACAATGACAAAATTAATACATTTTACTGCAATAGTATAATATAAAAAGTCCAATATCAGTTAAGCTGCAGGTTTAATTATCATCGCTCTTGTTACCTCCTGTGCAAAGTTCAAGTCTGTATGTTTCACTTTTTTCTATCCGTTTTTGTATTTCTTCTATCATGCTGATAGTTGACATCTCAACCGCAATAAACGAGTCGTTAGTTGCAATAGCGTCACTAGAATTTCCGCTAACGTTACTAAACTGCATTGTGCCTTTCGCCATCATCGCCCCGAGAGTTTCTATCACTTCAATTTCAATCGGTAGCTTGTCCTCAATTTCCCCGTAGCCCCTGTATCTTTCATTCCCTGTATCTTTCAACAGAAAACAAGAGAGTGATTCTCTCATTCAACATCAAGTCGTTAACTCGGTCGGCTGGTACCAACCTTGATATATCAACCAACATCACACCATACTCACTCACTCTAACACTATGACCTTTAACAACAACTAATAACGCAATAACAATTTCATAAGGGGCGGCCCTCCTGCCGTGCCCCAGACTGACCTTAGATGGTCAGCTGGCATTTTTGCCATGGCTTTCAATGCAGCTGCTTTGGGCATGTTCATGTCAGTTCCGCCTTCTGTAACATCAATTTGCTGTGACTGCCTGTTGTTGTCTTCTGTCGTCATCATTTTTGAACCTGAATCTCTTAATATGTCAGGTTTGTGAATGATAACTTAATGAATTATTTGTTTCCCGACTAATTTTCTCAGTCAGTTACTCAAAATATGACTGCGACTTTTTCTATCTTGATTTCCAATCTTGATCTAGCTTGACTTTTTCGGTGCGCATTCAACCTAGTAGCTTTGTGACTAGCTTGATCCCGACTCCTTCTGGGCGTGCCCTGGGTGCCCTCGCTTGTCTCCGGTTCCGGTGCTAGGGGGTGCTCAATCCTATCCTACGTCCCCATCGTCGCCTCAGCGTCTAGCAACGAGTAGTCTTGCATGACTTTAGCTGGCAACATCTTCTTGTTTTTATCTAATGAAAACAGCCCAATTTCATCATACAATTTTTCTGCGCTAAGTGGAAGTACGCACATGCACTACTTGCTAATGTAACGATAAAAGCAAACGTAACATAATCAACGTGACTTCAACGTGACTTTAACGGTGGTCACTGGCAACGCGTACTCTTAATAATCAACTGCTTTTAATCATAGTAACGTTCACCTTGAAGGTAGCAAAAGTTTATGTAATATTGTAATATCTATGTTTCTACTTCACAACTTCAGCCGAAACAGCAAGGGGGGGGGGAGGATGTCAACTTGATTCTAAGTTCAACTTTTCAGCCAATCAGAATTGAGTTTTTTTTTTACTCGCAGCGTTTAGCAAGTTTAATTAAAATTGAACGCTTGGGTGGAGTATCTTAATTTGTTCTAATTGGGTGGGAGGATATAAACCTGATACAATTCACAAATCGCAGGTTCAAATAAAATTGGTCGTGAAAAAGTGTCATGTCAAATATGTTTTCTAAATTTAGGCGTTTTTTCGGCTCATCCCCGCTCAGAATAAATTTTTCTAGGTTCATTTTTCAGGTTATGCAGTAAAATAGTACCAAAGGGTAGTGAAGATGTCTAACTTCAGCGTAGGAAAACTCCACCAAAGCAGAGTTAGCAAAACAGAGGTCGTTTCCCGAGTTTTTTTTGGATCTCTTCAACTATTTCCCCTGTTTAATACCTAGCAACGAATTGCCACCCCTATAATGAAAAAATTCAACGGCTAAGCAGATGGAACCTGATCTAAACTACATTTTATGATTGGATAATTTAGATATTTTACCAATGTAAAGTATTTAATATTAACCAATCATGATCCATCTAACTAACAACCCACTTATTTGTAAGTGCTGAAGTTACTTGTAATTTCAGCACCAGAGAGATTTGAATTTAACTTAGAAATTAGTTGGACTCTCCCGAGCACTTCAGCAACCGCAATAAACCAGTATACCCTAGATCTATTGAGCCTAGCAGAGACTAGTTAAACAACCTGAGACTAGATAATATAAGAGTAAGATTAGGATCGGTATTACACTAAGGAGTTGCACGAATCTATCCGGCCGAAAATAAGATAGCGTGACGAGCAGACGGTGTACCCTATCCGAAATTACTCTATGAGTTAACCAACTCGGTCCTAACTCATCTGGTGCGACCATAAGTCTCGAACAAGACCTTAATCGCTTAGAATTAACCAAAATAGATTAGAAATTAGACAAAAACATTTAAAAAATGTTATACGACAATAATTTAATCGAAATGTCTCTACGACTCAATAGATCAGAGCCAATATTCCGAACCATAACAGAACTACCCGGAATTGGAAGAAGACCTCGAACCAGAGACGACATACGACAAAGTAGAAACTTGCCATATAGCTATATGATAGTTAGGCAAAAACCAGAACAAACTTTTATATTTAGAATACTACTGGCAATGAATTTAGATTTTCATTTGCAAACATAAAACCTTGAAGTTAATCTTCAAAATCATTTCAGGCGCTAAACAAAATTATTAATATACAATAACGATTGATAAAAAGATCTAAGATCGTTTTCCTAAAACTCTGCAGTAATATACAAAACATGTTTGAAGAATATTTATTGAAAAATAAAAAATAAAAATTAGTAGCATGAAAATAAATGGTTAGTAATCATAAATCATCCTGTTGTTCCAGCTCCATCATCTAAAACATAACAGCAATCATAAACCCACTAATATCATCAAAACACTAAATCTTTCCTTTACACACATTTAAAAATTTATTAAAACTTAAATTCACTTAATTTTAAAACCAGATCATCAAGGCTTATCCTTGGATCTTAAATCATTTTCTAAATAATTAAATTTCAAATTTGATCATCAAGGCTTATCCTTGGATCAAACAGAACAACTTTGTTCTCCCCCACCCACTTAATTAGTGTCTAACGACCTCAAACGTCGATTCACTACCCAACCCTTTCTAAAGACCCAAGACTAATAGAAATTTTTAAACAAAACTAATCATTCAAATTAGGATAAACAGTGAAGAACTTCGGTTATTCATCCTTCACTTGACCCCCCCCTCTTACCAGACCCAGGATAAATCTTAGACTTAGTAAGTTTAAAATAGTATCTAACGAACTACTCGCGTTCTAATTATACCTGAACCTTGTGGATCGATTTACTATTCTCCAACCCTTGAACACAATCACTACCCCTAAGTAAGATTAAGTAAGTTAACACCTTAACTTATACTAGCCACGAGAAAGTAAAGAATCATTCTTCGGAATCGATATACTTTTCTCTCCAACCCTGAACAAACAGACCCAGGTTAAGCTAACCAAAAAATCGTAAGAACTAACAGTTTAAGAAAATAGAAACCATTTAACAACCCTTTGCATCCGTCATTCTAAACCTTATGTCATTTAAAAACCTAGGAAATAAACAGACAATCGTTTTACACAATTGTGAAATAGATAACAAAAAATACGACCTTGTAATCACACCTCATACACAAACAGTTGGATACATTCGAACAAAACGACAAACACTAAAAAGAAAAATAATAACGAAACAAAGACAAATAACACGAAAAAGATTTTCAAAAAATCGAAACGCATTTTCAGAATCAGAAACCAACAGTTTAGACGAACTTTACAAACTAAAAGAATCAATAGATAAAAATTGCCCACTTCACGATCAATTATATTTCTCTGACTCAGAAACAACTTCAAATTCATCAAAAAGAGGAAAAAGAAGAATAAAAAAGCAGTATAAACACAAACCAGTACATTTATACAATTGGAATCAACCAATTAGACACATTGATAATTACATATTAACAGTCATCGAACGAAAAAATGAGCTCAACGCACACCCCAGGTGAAGAAAGTCCAGATGATGATGAAATCTTTCCTTTTATAGTAGACGCAGATACTGATAGAGGACAACACATATTTTGTCAAAATTTACTCGTAAATTTATTTGAACCCGGAATTAGTCCATGTAAAACAGAGTTCCCAGATGTAAAAATCAAAAGACAAATCATAGACCACTACTTAAAAGATATATGCAACATAACACAACAGTATGGAATCTACTCCATAGAATTCACCTCACCAAACCATAATAATAGAAAATATACAATTCAAACAGACGATCTTGATTTAGAATTTTCAAAAGTTTTTTCAGAATATATAAAAAGCATCCAATATCATAACTCACAAAGAGCAAACTCCATATTCACCAATGAAGTTTTCGCAATAATATATAGTTATATTTCGATATTAGAAAACGAAATCCCTATAACAAATGTCTCACCGACAGAAACATCTAAACATTTAAGAGTACGACATGAAATCACACTACTCTCTAGTTATTTAAACATCATTAAAGAAAAATTCACGAAAGACGACGTTTCACAACATACAAAACACGATCTACAAAAAATTTTGGCATGGTTTATAATAGATTATTTCACACACAATATTGATTTAATTGCACAAGCAAGAAAAAA